AGTCGGCCTGTTCTGCTCCCCGCTCTGTCTCTGGTGAAGCCTCACACCACCCCTGCACCTCTGGCCTGTACCCAAGGTCTGTATGCATAAATAAATAAATCTTTAAAAAAATAAAAAAGACTTTACAATTTAAGTACTGCAAAGGTTTTTCTTTTAAGACACTAAGCAAAATTGGAGACAAAGATATTCAATGTTTTGGAATTTAAAGGAAAATAAACAAAAAAGAACATTCAGTATTTTTCGGGGGGGGGGGGAAGACAGCTGAGAAAAAGGATGGGGAAAGTGGCAATACATAATTCAAAGGAGTTGCCCCAAAATGATGAGTATAAATTGTAAGAGTCAAAGGACAATCAGATGATGAATAAAGTAGACCTGAAGTTTATCATCATGAAATTTCAGAAGCTCTTTTAATTAATTTTTGGAAAATTCAGAGCTAAAAATTTTAGTGAAAAATAAAAGAAGGAAAGAAAAACAGATCACATACAATGGACTAGGATCAGAATAACTGTGGACTATTGAACCACAGTTTAAGTTAAAAGGTAACAGATAATTTTGCAATTTTGAAAGAAAATTATTTTCAGCCTAGACTTCTAGGCCATCCCAAACTATCAGTTAGTATGAGAATTAAAAAGAGAATTCCGAGACATTTACTTCCCCAGTATCTTTGCTTAAGAAATTAGTGAATGATTTCTCCTTTCCATGATGTCCACAAAGATGAGGAAGACAAGGAATGTAAGAATCAGATAATCTAATACAGGTGAGAAATATTCCAGGATGAGAATTGTTTTCTAATAGAAGGCAATCTGGTTTATATAAGAGCAAGTCAGACACCCTGGTTGAATTTTAAGATGAAACTGACAGGAAAAAACATCTTGAGAGATGTACACATGGATGGCAGTAAATCTTGGGTTGAGTAATACTGCAAAATGCAAAGCAAAGTAAGTATGTAAGAACATTAACAATAAAAACACAGTGATTAACTAGAAAATATGAAGATGCTCAGGAAAACAAAAGAAGCATATCTCATAACTAGTAACATTTGTTGTCATAAAAATGTCAGCACAGAATTTTGACTTAGCCAAAATTAAAATTCGGTTACATCAGGAAAATGAGTTATATATTGGAAATGTGCTATTTCTTTCTTCCTTTTTCCTAAAATATGGACACTTTAATCCATGTACATGATCTTTAGGTCCTTATTTCTGATGGTTGCCAGAAAGTTCAGAGCAAAATCGGTGGCCCAGCTTTCTAATAGAAACTGTAACATCAAAAAAAAAAAAAAAAGACCAGTTCAAGTCAACAGAGAAGCTGAACCAAAATGAAAAGAACAAGATTTTAATCTCCTGTGCCAGCATAATAAATAGGATGTGTACCCGCTCAGTCATTTAATAGGATAGGTTTTTTATTGGTTTCGTTACATACAAAGTATGTAACAAAAGTCATAATTAGCCCGACAGATTTTGCTCCATCGCCTTATTTTCATCAAGTAACATTTTGTAGGCACCTACAAAACATATCACCAAAAACTCCTAAAGTACTGTCTGCCCATTATCAGTTATCTCTGATCTTCACGTTAATTCTCCAAAGCAGGTAATGTAACCTCTACCTCACATATAAGCATCTGCTGCTTGGCAAAACCTACCAATTGTTATATTCAGGAGATACTGAATAAAATGTGGTATATGAGACACATGCTTTTCGTTCAGAAAGCAAGGTCATCATAGCTAATAAAAGGATGTATCCAGCCAGATGTCCTTCCGTTGAAGTAAAAGAATACCGGTCTTCTCTTAAAAATAAATGTTTGGAAGTTTTTAAATTAACTCCCACAAAGTGTCTCATACAAATGAAAACCGCGGTAAGCTAAATCTTCTAATAACTACTACCAGGTGTATGTATTCTTCACTTCGAGATTGTTACACCTGAATTCCCCACACCAGCACTCGAAGCCTTGGTCGCCTCCCCAAGAATCTATAAACTGTAACAAAATTCACATTTGCCGCATCCTGTGGTCAGAGGGACAACTTCAGTGTGCAGTGGATTCATGGGGGCCTCAAATGTATGACTTAATGACAGCACGAAAGTACGGTAAAGTTCAACTGCTCAGCTTCCAGGTGACAAGCCTGGAGAGGAGAGGAAGAGACGAAAATGTTACCCCTTTGAAAGCACTCACCTATTCCCGGGAGTCTTTTCTTGGGGCTCCGCTCCCCCGAAATCCACTGGGGACACATCTGTAGATTCCGCTGGCTTTGGAGTAGATGCTACTGAAGGTTCTGGAGGCTTGGGAGTCTCTAGTCCACGCTGGGGGTTGGGGACAGTGGAGCCCCTAGAGCCTACGCCAGGCCTGACATTCGGCTTCACGCTTAGGCGTGCCCTGCGGAACATGGCGGAGCCAGGGGGCCCGGGGAGGCGGCCCTAAAGCCGGTCTCAGCCCCGAGCCCCGGCCACTGCCCCAAGAAAGAGTAGGAGCTACGCCCTTCCCACAAAGTCAAACCACCAGCCCAGCGGGCAGCTACCGCAATTTCACGCCCCCACCACCTCCTCCTTCCTCCCGCCGCCTCCTCTTCTTCATGACCCTGCTACTCTAATAGCTAAATTTCCCCCACACCTTGCTCCCCCGCCCTCAGAGAGCGCCGGAACTTATACGTCATCAGTTAGTGCCATGAATCATACGTAAGACGCACAGCGCCCGGAACCATGGTAACTGTCAAGCTATCCTACCTGAGTTACCGGTGAACCGGAAACTGAGAGTAAAAGGCGTGTGCTGCTAACTTCACTAGCGTCTTGAGAGTTAAAAAGTAGGGGAAGGAGGTAGTGAAGCACTCTGCCCAAATCTTTTACGGGAACTATTAAAATCGCTGATGGTTCGTTTTTTTTTTGGGAGAAGATCTACAAAAACATCCAGCTGCATTAATATCAAAATGTCAAAGGAATAAAATCCTAAGCTGATTTCAAAGATTGCCAGGTCATACAAAGATAGACAGAAAGGAGGCAAGTGCATTTTAGAGTAGGAAGACAAGGTAGAAAGCACAGGAGAAACAAAGACATTCCTTTAATATGGTGATAGGGCGTGGGAGGTTCTGTGGGCTCCTTCCAGTACTCTGGGAAGGGAACAGGAACTCAGACACACCTAAAGAAGTTCAAGAACTCACAAGAGAATCTCTGGCCAAAGATGTCATAGGAATCTTGGCATTACTGACAGGGCCACATAACTCTGGACACAGGTATAAACTGGAGACGCAAAGTCTTTTCCCAAGTACTCCGTTCCACCAAGAGTCGATGGCATTCCCATTATTTCATAGCTAAAGAAGTCAACAATGACTAAGATTTCCTTATTTTCCATTAGTAAAGTATGGGACAAGGATAAGTTAACTCTATTATTGTAAGTAAAGTCATTTATTTCACACCCACATTTGTGAAGTAACTTTGAAGTAAATTTTTAATACTACAGTAATTTCTAAAGGTTTATTTATTTATGCATACAAGAACTGGGGTACAGGCCAGAGGTGCAAGGAGTAAGAGGATTCACCAGAGACATAGTGGAGAGTAGAATAGATAGATCTACTGGTAAATATACTGCTGAGGGGTGCCCTCTCTGGTGGCGCAGAGGGTTAAACACAGCACTAAGAAGCTAAAGCCACTTCATCCCTGCCCCGAGGTGAGCAGGGCATGGCAGACATCTCCTGACCGGCCCACTGCTCCCCTCAGCAGTGTACATCAGTCGGCCTGCTCTGCTCCCCACTCTGTCTCTGGTGAATCCTCTCACCACCCCTGCACCTCTGGCCTGTACCCCAGTTCTGTATGCATAAATAAATCTTTAAAAATATATATACCTCTGGGGGGATCAGTGGGTGAGATAGGAGAGGTCTGCTGTGCCATGTGGGTAGGTCCCTGGCCAGGGATAGAACTCATGCTGCAATGACTGTCAGTACCTTCACAGTGCTGAGACTTAATCATTCACCACTAGGGAGGTCCCCATCACAGTCATGTTTTTTAAGATTTATTTATTTGTGCATACAGAACTGGGGTACAGGCGAGAGACTCAGGGGTGGCGAAAGTCTTCACCAGATTCAGAGTGGGGAGCAGAACAGGCAGATCAATGAAGTACACTGCTGAGGGGAGCAGCGGGCGGGTCAGGAGAGGTCTGCCATGCCATGTGGTCACCTCCGGGTCAGGCGGGAATGGAACTCATGCGGAAGTGGCTTTAGCTTCTCAGTGCTGTGCTTTAACCCGCTGCGCCATCAGGGAGGGCCATCACAGTCATGTTTTTTTTAAGATTTATTTTATTTATTTATCATACAAGAACTGGGGTACAGGCCAGAGGTGCAGGGGTGTGAGAAGATTCACCAGAGACAGAGTAGGAAGCAGAATAGGTGGATTAATGAAATACACTTCCAAAAGGAGCACCAGAGGAGACAGGAGAGGACTGCTGTGCCATGAGTTAACTCTCTGGCCTGGGGTCAAACTTGTGCTGCAGTGACTGCCAACTTATGTTTTTCACAGATGCATACACCCAACCTATGTTGTATACTTAGTGTATCTCTACAACTTAAAAACTATTTTCAATTTCAAAGAAAAATTGTGTAAGGTAAGATCACATACAGAAACAACTCCACCACTTACCTTCTAATCCTAAGTTCCTTCCCCCCTTAGTTTTAGACGATCTTTTCATCTATAAAGAGTACCACTGGCCAGACAGTTAATCTTTCCTGAAGGCTCAAGTTACTCAGAAGGGGCTCCCTAAATAGAAACAGTAAGCAACAATGTGGAAAGGTTGATGGGGTAATACATTTAATAGCTAACATATTGAATGCTATCATTTGTTGGGTACTTAATACTTAACACATATTAATTCAATTAATGAAGGTAATACAATCACCACTCCACTTGGATGTTTAAGGGCTTTTTAAAAAATATTTACTTTATGCATACAGAACTGGGGTGTGGGTCAGAGGTGTGGGGAGTGAGAGAATTCACAAGAGACAGGGTGGGGTACAAAACAGGCAGACTGACAAAGTACACTGCTGAGGGGAGCAGAGACTGAGACAGTCTGCCACACCATGTGGGTCACCTCCCTGACCTGGGATACATCTCATGCTGAAGTGGCTGCTGCTAATTCATGGTGCTGCACTTTAACCCATTGCACCACCAGGGAGAGCCCTGTTAAGGGATCTTTGATGGAATGAAATAACATGCATATGGCAGAGATTGTAAAGCTGCTTCCAACCCAGACTTCCATCCCCAGCTCCTTCAGTCTTCAACACTTTCTCCTGCCTTCTCTAAAACAGGCAACTTTTTTTTTTTATTTTACAAAAGTTTATTTTTGCATCATCTTGTACATTTTTTTTCCATCTCAATTGTAATCCCCGCGGGTTTCCCATCACCAAGTCACCCGTGTGCCATCACCATAATCCCATGCACTTCCCCCCCCCACCCC